TAGCGGTTGTAATTACATCAGCAGATTCACATTCGCGATAGAAAAGCGGCGCTTTCACGTTATGATATTACAAATGTGAAATTACAAACAAAAAATACACATTCTGAGACATGAACTGAAATTAATTGTGAATTTTATTAACATTAAATCGTCCTCCTCCCATTTTCACCTCAAAATTATGGGGAAGCTGTGCCTACCCCGACGAGCCGCCACTGGCTCTTAAAGGGACAGTTCACCCAAAAATGAAATCTGTCATCGTTTACTCACCCTTATGTCTTTGCAATCGTAAATGCTGCTTTGTTTTCTGAACAACACAAAGAAGAAATGTTTAAAATATATTGATACATGAATCTATAAGGCCTCTAAATTTTTAACATGATCAAAACTTATGTCATCTGATTGATAGTTTATGCTTTTTTAGCAAGTAAATGGCCTTTTAGAATAATTGTAAAAGTGTCCACTTTCAGGTTGTAATATGCTTCTTTTTGATGTGAAATTTTATAACGTAAATGTAAGAATAACTTATAGTGCTATTAATATTTCAAGATGAACACTTACTGGGCTGAAGCATCCATACATCATTTTTTAGAAAAATCATGCTAAAATGTGAGTATCAAATATGATACATCAGGCTTTTCATGAATATTTGATCTAAAAAGCATTTCAATATCATCTTATTAAGACATTTTATTGAAATATATTGTGTGAGGACTGATATTTACGTGTATTTATGTAGGTAGTCTGCTATACTATTATAAAGATCTCACTAATTTACATTACAAGCTCTCAGAATTTCATTTTACTTTCTGGCCATATAAATATCAGCATCTGCACTAAATTGCATATTTTTGCTCAGTTTGGGCCTCTTAATAAATTTCAAGTGTTTTTTTCTTGAGTATGAGCTCTATGTTCTCCTATATTCTGTATGAGTCATAAAGCCTGATGTATCAAATATGATACAAAGCATAAAACACTTTACAATAAGCTGTCAATAAACTATTGATTCAACATGCCGGACAATGTTAAAAAAAAACTTCATGCAGCAATTTAAATGGTAACTTATAAGATAATGGCAGAATTTGCATTTTGAGTGCTTTTATAATAAATGCATCTTTTGATTGTTCCTCAGGTCAGATTTTGTCATTGTGGCCGGTCATTATCCAGTCTGGTCCATTGGACATCATGGTCCAACCAAGTGTTTGGTATCAAAACTCAGACCTCTTCTGAAGAAGTACAGCGTCTCCTTATATCTGTGTGGTCATGACCACAGTCTACAGGTCGGTATCTTGAACATCACATTATCATGTAACAGAAAATCAAGCAGTACTATAACAGTTCAATACAACATTCTTTTAAAGGTTTACCCAAAATGTAAAATATTCTGAAAATGTACTCACCCTCAGGCCATCCAAGATGTAAATGAGTTTGTTTGTTTATCAGAACAGATTTGGCGAATTTTAGCATTATATCACTTGTTCGCCAATGGATCCTCTGCAGTGAATGGGTGCCGTCAGAATGAGAGTCCAAACAGCTGATAAAAACATCACAATAATCTGCACAACTCCACTCCATCCATCATCTTGTAAAGCAAAAAGCTGTGTGTTTGTAATAAACAAATCCATCATTAAGACATATTTAACTTCAAACTGTTGCTTCCAACTAAAATACAAGTTCTATATCCATAACATGCTTTTCTCCAGTGAAAAAGTTGTCTTGTCTGAATCAGGAGAGAAATATGTACAGTTATAAACAGTTATAAACTGCTCCAAACAAATATGCAATTGGATTTTGATGTGAGAGGAAAACGGGGGATGGAATTTTTAGAGGAAGCGTTATTATGGATTATGAACTGGTATTTTGTCCAAAAGCAACGGTTTAAAGTTAAAACCCATTTGGAGTGTGATGTTTCTATCAGCTATGTGGACTCTCATTCTGACGGCACCCATTCACTGCAGAGGATCCATTGATGAGCAAGTGATGGAATGTTACATTTCTCCAAACCTGTTGGGATGAAGAAACAAACTCATCTACATCATAGATGGCCTGAGGGTGAGTTTTTAATTTTTGGTGATCTATTCCTTTAAGCAAATTTATTAAAGCATTAATAGTGACTATTATGGGTGCTAAAGCATAATCAGCATCATGCAGTGGAACTATAAATTTTTCTATTTCATCAGTTTATCAGAGAAGATGATGGAAGTTCATATGTTGTCAGCGGAACTGGAGTTAATGCGGAAATTTACACAGACCACAAAAACAGCTTCCCGTCGTCTTGGCAACTGTTCTCCAACGCAGTCAATCAGACGACAGGAGCATTTGTGTACTTTGAAGTCAATACAAGTGAGATGTTGATAAATTACATCCAGGAAGACGGGAAGTGTGTGTACCAGACATCAGTCCCTAAACGTAAAGTCCAACTTTGACGTCATTATTACATTTGCCCTAGTTTATTTAATTTGCTTTCAATGAACACAACAATCACTTTGCCTAAAGTTCTTTCTAATTGCACCAACAAATTTTTATTGTATATTTGAATGCATATTTTAATTTAGTTTTAACTGTATTTTAATTTTACATTTGCTATGTACAAAATAAAACAGTTTTATTGCTGAGATTGAAAAAAAATACAGTCTTACATAAATGTGCACTGGTCTTGGACTTTGTATAGACAAAAAATCTATCTATCTATATACACATTTACATTTCTTTAAATTAAAAGCGAAACAATTTACACTTAAAAGGAGACTTGTACATTTTTTTAAGGCGTCACATTAAATGGAATTTTACTAATTACAATTGGGGGCGCCATTGAGCTATTTACCTTATTGTTCAACATCTATATGAGTTTGAGTTTAAATATGAGTTTGATTTTCATTACTAAGTTTTCTTATAAGGCACAGTATAAAACATCTCCTTTGAAGTTAGAAAATATAATGACAAAGGTCTGCATTCTGATTAGTCCACATGTGCATTTTTGTATATTTAATTGTTTTATAAAAAAAAAAAAATCCACATCAGTACCATTCCTACTGGATTCACAGGTTTGTAGTACAGTGATATCAAAATGGCAACAATAAACCAGATTTGACATTATTTTATGATCGCTGGTTAGCCATGTACAGTTGCAATGTGTTAAAACTTAGCAGAGCATTTTGCTGTTAAAACACAAATATACTTTAAAAACAAATACAGCTTACCACATTAATAGCTAAAAAAAATAAATTAGTATTACTGATTTTGATTCTCCCAAGTGCGTACAAAAAACCCCATCATAAATCATACAGTATTTCCATTTGTTATCAAGTAGATAAAATTAGGTATTGCTTCTAAAAATGTTAATACAGTACACTTCAGTGCCAGACTAAAGAACCCACCACCTGACAGTATAAAGGTCTTGTCTTGCTAAATTATATGTCTAATCTACATTTTGAGGTTTCACAGAAACCAGAGGTGTAAAGTATTGGAGTAAATGTAATTAGTTACTATACTTGAGTATCTTTTTCGATACTTTGTAGTTTTACTGAGTATCAAAGATATTAGCAACTTTTACTCTATTATTGAATGAGTATCTGTACTCTTTACTCCACTACATTTGAAATGAGTGTTGCAGTTACACATTACATTTTGCATGGACCTAGCTTTTTCTGCAGCAGTTTATTTCTGCTACAAAAGACGTGATACTGCCTATTACAAGTCACTGAAAGTACTGCATCTTGTGCGTTTTGCCCTTACTCACCCAAATATTTCAACAAGGCTACTTTATGTGAATGCGAGTTCCTTAGCAAGTATTTGTGAATCATCCCCAGCTTTTCCACAACATTACAGTTTATCACTGGCATGTCTCTTTGGCTAGTGCATTTTTAGCCTATATTTAGTATAAGTAAAATACTTAAGTACTGTTAAAATCAGATACTCTAAGACTTTTACTCAAGTTGTTTTGGAATTGGTGACTTGTAACGTGTAGTGGAGTAATTTTCACTGTAAGGTATCTATACTTTTACTCAAGTATGGTTTTTAGGTACTCTTTACACCTCTGACAGAAACACAATTTTCCCACTGTTTTATAGTGGAACAGGATGCCATCCTCCCTAAGGGAGAGTCTAATTTAGATCTACCAAACACAGCATCCACACTCTTCACGCAACATTCAATGGTAATCCTTCTTTTCCTGTGTTTTCCGCTCTCTTTCTTCGTCTGCAGCACATCACGATGACAATAATGATTGCTGTTATTGCCAAAATGATAATAACAATGGCTCCGACTATGACACCCACACCGTACTCTGCAAAAACATTACATCATTGTCATTAAGGTCACATAACACTTGATTCAATGAGTTTGATGGACACCGCAGGAATTTTGCATTTCAGTTAGTCCCTATACACTGAGATGCTTAATTTACAATTTGCCCAACGGACACATTTCTTATTAATTATGAGTGCTATCGGATGCATTAAAGGGGTCATATGATGCGATTTCAAGTTTTCCTTTCTCTTTGGAGTGTTACAAGCTGTCCGTGAATAGATAAGATCCCTAAAGTTGCAAAGACTAAAGTCTCAAACCCAAAGAGATATTCTTTATAAAAGTTAAGACTGGTCCACGCCTCCTAAAACGGCTCGTTTAAATGCCCCCACATGTCTACATCACTGTGTGGGAAGATTTGTACTGCATCAACGCCTCCCAAATGTTCACGCAAAGAAAGAAGGCGTAACTTTATTGTTGCTGCCGCCGCCGCCGCCATGTTATGAAGACGCTGTGTGTTTCGTTTGCGAAAGCGAAACTACTTTGTTTGGCCTTCCAAAAGAGGACACGACTAGAAATCAGTGGTTAAGTTGTATTTACAACACTGTTCCAGAACAGTTCAACCCAAATATTCAGATGTGTGCAGCGCATTTTATGGAGGACTGTTTCCTGATCCTGTTAGAGTATAGCCTACAATGCCGGCTGTTCTGACTCACAGTCTGTAAGTACGTTTTCATATTTAAAGAATTAGCCACTGACGACTCAAACGTGAGTTTTGAGCAGTGTAGAGTAGGGCTTGTTGTTTGTAATTTCTCCGATCACAAATGCAGACATGGTTTTATGTTTACGCGGCGCGATGCAACGCAACGCATAAAAAGACAGTATAAGTCATTATAATCCATAATTATGTCCCCACTGGATGCAACAAATGCCTCATTTATAATGGGTTTTAATGTTTTTGTCTCGTCGCTCTGGGACACAGCCTGACAGTATGGAAAGGGGTGTACCATTTCCGTCACACGCTTGAGGTATTCGGCCAATCACAACGCACTGGATAGCTGGCCAATCAGAGCACAGCTCGCTTTTCAGAAAGATGAGCTTTGTAAAAATCTACGCATTTCAGAAAGGCGGGGCATAGAGGGGAAACAATAATGTACATTATGTGGAAAATAATGTGTTTTTTAACCTTAAACCGCATAAACACATGTCATTACACCAAATACACAAAATAATGTTCTTTTTAGCAACATCATATGATCCCTATAAATGTCTCTGTGAATCACACATTCATAGAGTCCATATAAATCTCTGTTATGACACTATATCAGCTATCCGACACTTCATAAAGGGATGCGTTACAGCTAGAGTCCAGATCAGGGGAGAGAGTCTATTTTGGGAAAATGATTCACTCCCTATCAGACAAAATTCCCAACGTTTGCTTTTCCTGGGATTGTTGTGCTGAAAATCCCTGACAGGCCAAGATTTAATGTAAAAACGTAAAGCATTACCTTCAAAGATAGATGGGCTTTCTTCTGGAGAGCATTGGATGTTGCTGATCTCCCCGTGTTGTTTGTCTAGAGCACGGAAGGGTAGGAAAACCTGAACATAAAAACAGTAACTCTCGCCTCGGTCCAAATCCGTCAGCTCAATGATGCTGCTTTTACTGATCTTCTCTTTCTGAAGAGGCAAAGACATAAAATATGTATAATCTAAATACTGTATATTAGGGCTGCACGATTATGACAAAAATCATAATTGTCGATTATTCCCTTGAAATTGTAATTGTGATTATTAATTACGATTATCACAATTTATATTGAATGATGTTTATACCATTGTTTGATGCAACTGCATGCCGTATTTTTATATGAAAATAAACAAGCTGAAAACACTCTAACCGAAAAACGTTTAGTGCTTTTCTATAGTATTAAGCCTCAAATGTCAACTATACATCGGATTGGTTTCTTCTTTAAATTATAAAAAATTTAAAATATGAATGGTATTATAATGTTATACTAAAACTAAAATGATTAATTGTGCAGCCCTACTGTATATATACTGCCAGCCAAAAGTTTGGAATAATTAAGATTTTTTAAATGTTTTAATGTCTCTTATTCTCACCGAGGCTGCATTTATTTGATCAAAAATACAGTAGAAACAGTAATGTGAAATATTATTACAATTTAAAAGAGCTGTTTTCTATTTTAATATATTTTAAAATGTAATTTATTCCTGCGATGCAAAGCTGAATTTTCAGCATCATTACTCCATTCTAATGCGTTACCCCCAACACTGGTCACGTGATCCTTCAGAAATCATTCTAACATCCTGATTTATCATTTATTATTATTATCAATGCTGAAAATAGTTGTGCTGCCTTTTTTGAGGAAACTGTGATTTTTTTCTCTCAGAATTCTATGATGAATAGAAATTCATTTAAATATAAATATTTGGGTAACATTTTAAATGTCTTTACAGTCAGCTTTGATCAATTTATTGCATCCTTGCTGAATAAAAGTATCAATTTCTTTTAAAAATGGTTGTATAAGACTTTGTGACATTTTTGTTATATTTTTTGTAACTGTCTCATTTATTGTGCCCTACATAATGTATCATGTTGAGTAAAATCAATATTTTTAAAATTGTCCGTTTTTAATTAGAACTATAATTAACCTCTAAGTTAAAAAAATATATAATATATATATATATATAAAGCTTTGAGTCTCTACCTGAAAAAAAAACCCCACAACAAATTTACTTTGTTTATTATTTAGTCAAAAAAGGAATTACTTTGGAACAATTTTCACTCACTGCAGTTGCTAGTAAATTTCACAAACAAACATCAGTAACATGTTGAATTAAACGTGTAATTTTGAAATAGAAAGACTGAAATAGTATTTTCTCGTAAAACATACTTCAGTAATCTTTGTTTTATTTACAACTTTGAAAAGTTGTTTTTATACTGTAAAGCAAGATAGTACTTTAGACTCTAAGTGGTGAAAGAGCTCAGAAAAGTATGCTTATTAAATAAGATAAGAAAAAAGAAAGATAGAACACTTTACAGAAAACACTAACCTTTCCTGTGCTCTTGGCTTTCCTGTAGGTAACCTTATACTGCAGGTTGTCTCCGAAAACATCCCGAATATTCAGCCTCTTTTTATCCTCATTAAAGAGAGCCGTGGGGATGTCCGTTACGTGCAGCGTCGTCTTCCTTTTGTCGCTGCTTACTTCTATTTTAAACTCTGGTCTGCCAATGGCAGCTGAAAGAGAATCAAAGCAGAAGATCTTTATAACATTTCAAAAATCTTCACGCTATTAAATAAAGTACAAGACAAAGGTGTGAAGTGGGTTGTCAAGGATACTGACTGTCATAGTAAGGGGAGAATTTCTCCGATCTGACATGAGGGAACTCAACCAGATCGGAGGAGACGCCCCGCATGGGTTCAGACAGGATGTCAGCGCTGTAATGGGCCTTCAGGTTTTTTAACCCTGCAGTCAGGTCGCATTCAGTTGCCATCGTCCTTATACAGTGTGGCGTTCGGTCTCTGTTCTGGCCGAGTCTACAACCATTTACACAGACATTGTAAAGAAAACATTTGGAAATAATAAATGATATTACATGAGAAGAAGTGACAGGTTGGTGCCTGCTGTAACAAGTCCTGGGTGTGGAACTATGCAAGAGTTGCCAAATCTGCCTCATGTGAGAGTTTAATACAGAACTTTTTATTTATAAAAGGTTTTTTTATGTTTAAATATTAATAATAGAGGTTCTAAACCAACAAACCGTAAAATCATAAGTTTAACCGACTTTAAAAAAGTGGTTCCAAAGTTATAACCTGCAGAGATCCATTCAATGGACTTTTAATTAAATTACTGATAGAAATGAATAGAAAATTGAGTAGAAATGAATAGAAAAGTTTAAAACAATAGAAACAAAATACATTATCATATACACTTTTATTGCACTTATGCTTCACACTTTTGCCGGTTTATGGCCAGATTGTTCTGATTGCAGAGTGAGAAACCTTTTGATATAATCAATGAATTATGACTTGATTGGTCAGAATCAATATGATCTAGTACTATATTAGTAAGTAATATTAGATAGCGGCCATACAACAAGGCAAACAGCACTTTTTTATTGAGTCTTTCACTATTGTATTAAAGTAAAACATATCCTATGCAACACATGAAGCTCATCTGTACATACTGTATATTTTACTTTTATATTAAATCTGCAAGGGGAAACTGTAACAGATTTCACTACTGTTCACTATTATTGAAACAATATCTTTTGACGTGTTGTAATAAATCAGATTTTTAAATTGAACCTGGATTGGAATATTTACTCATTCTAGCACATTTTCCATAACTCTGATACAGCATTCACGACAATGAAGGTAATAACAAACAACCTACTAACAAAAAAATGACGACTTACTCTGAAAATTCAACAGTGTAGGAATAATTCGTTGGTTCTGGACTCCATGTTAATATAGATTTAAAATTGATAGAGGACCAGGTTACGTTCTGTACTTTTGGAAAGGTTTCTATAAAATAGAAAAGCAAATGAATCAATACGTTACTTTTGAATAACGAAACATTATTAGAACGAAAGAAATGGTTTCAAATAACTGGTTAACAAACTGAATAACACGCATTCAATCATTATGGCACAGGTACGTGACTCACCTGAGGCGCAAGCCTTCATGAAAAATAAAACCAGGGCTAATTCAAGCATGTGAAATTTCATTTGCCTGTTACTTTCCATACTGTCCGAAATACGAAGTGGCGAAATACTAATCCAAAGACCAAGTAAAACTCCTTTTACCAGGCAGGATAAAAATTAAGGTATAACCTTGTCCCAAGTGGCTTATATATTCCT